AGCGATGAAAAAGTCTATTTTTATGCTTTGCTCAAGAAGCTGTCGACTGTTTTGACCAAGCCTTCGGGGTGTAATGATGGTATCACAGATCGCATCACTCGTCGAAGTGACACCGGAGGCCGATTGGGAGAAAAGGATTCAATCAGGAAGGCATCTCCATACGTACACTGAAATGAGCTGAAAGAAGCCGTTAATTTAAATTAAGTTTACAGTCTGTGGCAGAGAAATGATAGAAGGTAGGACATTATGATAATGCCATACTTCTGGCAAACGTACAATTATTAGCATGCCTTTGCACGTGAATCAGGCCTACAGGATTATATTTCGCCCATGGATTGTGACGAGGTCCATTGTGGACCTCAGGGCGGTGGCTTGGGTGAGGATTAGTTTATAGTTTATAATAATAGTAGTATTCGTTATTTCCGCACCACCTGGTGCGGTGTCAAAAAGATCGGAGACGGGATTGAACGTAAGTGGCTGGGATAATGTGAGCCCATTGCTGTTTCATCGGTTTGCTAGGCGCACTTAATCCTTCAAATATCTCGACGATGCTCTTTGACACGTTGCAGTATTATTTTGAGACTGACGTTTCAGACGCTCCTTCGGTTCCATCTTCAGAGTAACTGGGTGGTTGTTCCTATTTACCGGCACTGCTTCAGCCTTGGTATTATATCCGTGCTCGACGCACGAAATTTGACCTGCCCGTTCGCTAGTGGTCTCGTATGACCTTTGCCCTTTTTGCGGCTATCGTAAGTCTGCTGACCGGCCTGTCCCTCGTCGACCGACGGACTAATCAGTTCTTACTGCCCGCATGAGTTGATGTTATCCCACGGGCTCGGTGGTGAGGTATAGTTCTGCGGCTCTGTTAAGTGTACAAGTCGAAGACCAACTTTCCAGCAGCAATCTGGCCATCTTGTCTTTGGCTCGGGCTATTAACCTTGCTTTGTCAAAGGCGACAACGTGATACTTATGTTGTGCGTGGTCATAAACCATAGACAGCTTATCCTTGCGGTTGATTGTCTGTTGATGTTAATGCAACCTTGTGCCAAGGCGTCTACCCGTTTCACCAACATACTTTGCGTCGCAGTTTTGGCATGGTATGCTGTAAAACACAACTAATTGTTCCGTCAATGGTAGCGGGTCTTTGAACCTTATGATCTGCTGTCTTTTGGTTGACTGCGGCTTATAACTCACACCGATCCCGAATGGTTTCAGGATTCTTGCAGTCGCCTCTGATAGATTCTTCACATAGGGGATTGCGAGCCGGAACTTGGGTTCCTCTCCTTTTGACCGCTCAAGGTCGGGCTTAAGATACTTGCTTACGAAGTACTTTCGATAACCGTTGGCTTAAAATAGGGCATCCAAGTACTTCATCTTCCAAAGGGCATTATCAAAAATGTGTACTAAGGTAAAATAATGACCACGTGTACATTGGTGCTCTAAGTGAGCGGCCAGATATATTGCAAAAATGAGTAATCATGTAGGCAGAGTATTTGATATCTACCAGACTTTGTCCTTTTATAACAATAGTTAACGATCCGTAGAAAAAAATTGTGAACTAAGAAAGAAACAACGAAAAAACTAAGACGCAAAATGAGGCAGATTTCAGCGAACCTATGCCTTAAAAGAACTGTGGAAGAACAAAAAACTTAGTGTGTACGGTAGGCTGATATTATAACGAAAGTCCATAATGTTACAATAAACCGTCGGTATAGTGCGCCAAGTATCGCTGGTGCGTATGATAGCTCGCGGAGAAGCGTCGACGGACTTGGGGTATCGATATCTCAAGGGCCAGAATGAAATGTTGGTGATGGTTTGCAGCCGGCGAAACGAGAGCGGTTTAAATTGTACGTCCATAATTTGAATGAGGGGTGCTCTCTGGCGATAGTGTGGTTCCTGGGGGATAAGAGGCAGAGAAAAGTAATTTTAAGACTGTCTACCAAATTCTCGATAGTCCTTTCTGAGTGTCTTGGAGAAAGCTGCTCGGAAAAGGTTATAAAAATTAAATCAGTGTTAGAACAAGTGCGTAGTCTTCTCTTGAAAGCAGATAGACTAGCTGTCAACCTTATTTTAATTGGCAAGTTATTTTACCGGAAGCTATACCTGGAAGTAAATTGTAAGGAGCGTTTAGAAGAGGAGGATACAGGGGAAGTATAATGAATAACGAATTTAGAACGTAGTAAGGATTACTCACGGAGGTAAGGATATAAATCATAAGAAGGTCTGAACTATTATAAATGCGAAAAAAGACAGAACCCTGCCTCCGGTCTCATCCCTCGCCGACCAATAAAAATTTGTTTGCCAATTTTATCCTTTTTGGGTGCTTTCCACATGCATTTTAAGTTCGGTACAGCAATTACAAGCGACTTTAATTTATTTCCTGTTGCTCTTTTTCCACATGCAAACACGCATTATCTACTCCTTTAATCAGGCGTTAAATCATTAACTACGATTATCGACATGAACATAAGACTGAGGATATTTTATTGTCGATTAAATATCATTTATATAACGCGAAGACGACAGAGGACTTAGCATGGTACCTTGAGGGGACACCATTTGCAATAGGAGTCTCAAATGAAAATGAGGACACAACTGAGGCCTTTTGTTTTCGATTGGATAGGTACGACCTAATAAACTCATCGCGGGGACTACGAAGTCCTCATCGAGAGCTCTCGAAAGGTCAAAAGACATATCGGCCACAAATAGGTGATCATCACAAAGAGAAGTTAGTAGATACGAAAACGACATGTGTAATATTTCACAAAACCGATCCGACAAATATCCATTTTGGAAAGAAATGAGGAACTACAGTGTTACAGAAAAAACTGCATATGTCCTGCTTCCTGATCACAGTGTAGACGTTATTGCTTATACTCCCGCCAGAAGTTCGTACTCGCGTGGGATACATCGTTATGGCCATATTTCCGGCCTCTCCCTTCAAGTGCACTGAAGCAAGCTCACAATAGACAAGTCATTGATTCACATCATGTCCGATAAGAGCATGATGTTGTTAGAAAGTGTAGCGGAAAAATCTCTACAAATACAGGGTGTTCCAAAAATGTATACACACTTCAAATAATTGTAGACTTGGTATTAATTGTAATT